ATACAACGCAACACAACACACAACAATACCACACAACACAAAACAACGCAACACAATACAATACAAAGCAATACAACACAAAAAAATACAACGCAACACAACACAACACAACACATCATAGCACTTCACAATACAACACACAAAAATACAACGCAACACACCACAATAGGTTCATTCCTTATCTTTTTGGACTAGAATCTGAAAAGTGTCAAAATGCCAGAGCGTAAGCAGAATGCGCTCACTAAAAGAGAATAAAAGGAAAAAGTAAAGGAACGCAAAAAACCAAATTTTTAGTCCAAATAATAGCAATAACAAAACTAACGTCAAATCAGAATGGAAATGTATGTACACAAGTAATTTTTAGCAAAAAAAAACCGACTTCAACTCTCATATAAAAAATATATACATATATATATCTCATGATCCACTGATCGGATCTTAACCAGATTAGTATGGTTCACCTCTGAGACACTACCTTTCCGATGCAAAAAGAATTATCGAAATCGGTTGACGTGGTCCAAAGTTATGCGGCAACATACATAAAAAAAAAAAAAAAGATTCCGACGAACTGATAACCTCCTCCTTTTTTGGAAGTCGGTTAAAAACACATTCACACAAGCACAGGCACAATAAACACTTACTATATCAATTATTTTTTGCCTCCTTCCAATTTGAATTGACTTTTTTTACTTTTTAGATTATTCTCACTTTTTGCGTATTCTTTAATTTCCGTTAATTTAAATTTAGTTCAGTTTGACACTTTTCAAGATTTTGCCAGCGAAAATTCTTCTGACTTCGGACTGAAGAGAGTCACTCTCACTGAGTGTTGCTCTCTCATTTTTGCTGTCATTTTCGAGTTAAGGAACGCTTTTTGGACTAAATCTGACTACTTCGGCGTTTTTCTGACTATTTTTGGGAGATAAGGAAAGCAACTAATACAACACAATGCAATACAATACGACACAACATAACATGCCAATCTTCAAATATCTCTTCGATTTCTCTTTCTTTTCTCATCTCTATTATTTTTTCTATCTTAGTCTTTGCCATTTCTTATCTTTTCATTTTTATATTTATCATTTCCTTGACTTTTATCCAGATCCTTGTCTTCATTCTTAACTTCATTTACATATTCACCCAAACCTTTGCTATTATATTAAGGCTGCGTTTCTCCAAACTAATTTAAGTTGAAACTAACTTTAGTTTAATTTTTTATTTAATTCTCATTTAAATTGTTTTCAGTTTCAATAAGCTCTTTATTTAAGTGAGTAAAAAGTGGTTGTAAAACAGACTTGGCCAGCGAAAGCTTTAATTTGTACTGAGAGCTTTTGAAAGCTTTGGCACGCTGTGTTGTAAAAGCAGGGGTGGTATAAAAGTAAGCAGCAGATACACAAAATTATGGTGTGATCAGCTGATTAAACCTGTAACATCTCTGAGTGTGGTTATTTTGATTTTATTTTTATTTAAGTGAAGAGCATAGGTGTGACTTAAATGAAACTTAAAAACAAATTAAAATTGATTGGGGAAACCAAAAATTCGAAAATTAAAGTAATTTTCACTTTAATGAATCTAGTGAAACGCAGCCTAAGTATTTAGATTTACCTTTCTCTTTGTCTTTATATTTAGGCTTCTTTACTTTTACTTTAATCTTTGCCTTTATCCATTTCTTCTTCTACATACTGAACTTCATCTTCTTCCTTGTATGAGCCGGCAAATGCTGAAGACATGACGAAACATGTAAGAAGCCGATCGCTATGTTCCGTATAAAAAAACATATAAAATTTCATACACACTTAATATTTACAATGGCTCTTTACCGATGAAAAATTACCCCCTTTCAAGAAATTGGGCGTGGGGCGCCCATTATCTCACCGATCTCTTCTAAATTTAGTATACATAATGCACTTGGCCTTCTCAAAAGCCATCTTGAAAATTGTTGAAAAACTTCTTATAAAATCCATTTGCCATTCGGAGGTTGCGTAAAACTGGGGTCCTCTTCTGCTTTATTGGCCCCGTATTATTATCGCTCAATTTACGTTGCAAGTATTCTGAGATTTTCACCTCATTTTAGAGAAATACGAAATCTGCGATAAATCAGTAAATACTGAAGCTAATTTATTCAAAATTGTAGTTTGGAATAATAATTTAGCAAAAAACGCAATTATAACAACTTTTGGGGAAATCGTAATGCAACATAAAAGATGAATTAACCTGCTACGTGGCATAGAACTAAATACATTCTGAAAACACTTATTTTGTCCAGTTTGGTCAATATTTGGAATGTATATTTTTTACAAGGATAGAAATAATTCCGCAAAAGTTTTAACCATTAAGTTGCGCAGCGGTCGATATATTCCAAAAACCTGCATCTATTTATATGCATATATGTATATCTCTTCGCTTTTTTGTGTAAATAATTTCTTGAAGACCTACAAAACCCATTACCACCTATATCATAGATAAACTTTTGGGGCATAAATAAAACATTTGTTTATGTATTTAGTTTAATTTATATTTTAAATATAGATATATATCGACTTGGACTCATATTTAAAAGGCAATAAAAAGCAGAATTGGAGGCAACATAAGATAAAGGAGTTGCTGTAGGGGCATGTATCGTTGCTACATTAGATCCCTGGATAGAGTAGGGGGCAGCGTAGGATGATGGCTCTAGTGGTGGGGATGATGGAGCTGGCGCTGGAGCTGCATAAGATCCTCGAGCAGAGTCGAAGCCAGCTTACGATGATGGAGAGGGTTCATATACGGGTGCTGCGTGAGATGTATGGGCAGAGCTGGAGCCAGCGTAGGAGGATGGAGCTGGTGCTGGAGCTACATAAGATCCTCGGACAGAGTCGGAGCCAGCGTACGATGATGGAGAGTGTGCATGTGCAGATGCTGCGTTAGATGTATGGGCAGAGCTGGAGCCAGCGTAGGAGGATGGAGCTGGTGCTGGAGCTACATAAGATCCT